TTTTTTTTTTTTTTTGTCATTAAGTTACACAATAATTGATTTTTTTTTTGTCAATAATGACCCTCTATAAATGTTTCGAGAAATGAATGAAGATTGAATATGAAAAGGTGTAGTGTATTTATTAGCTATAGAAAAATGTGTACAAAAGATCCAAAACGTCATTTATTTAGTGAATGGTTGATAAAGCCAAACTAGGACGTACTCCGTGCGATGCACGAGACAAATATATTAAATGAGTTATTTTACAGTCTTGTCCGTTTAAGGTTTTTGGGGGAAGAGTATTTAGAGTATACAAATAATATTTAAAAGTATCTAAAATATTAGTAATTAGACAGGTGAAATTAAGATTTTTTTAAAAAAAATCTAAATATATAATGAGTTTATAGTAGTAATTAAACTTTTATTTATTTATTTTTAAAGTTGTTACGATAGATGAGAGATGTGATTTTTTTGACTCGTGGAGATTGAATTTTGTAAGTTGGTTATGAAATTTTCTTAAACTCGTCCATGAGTTTTTTGAGCTGGGTATATAGATTTAAAATTGTAAAAAAAAAAAACTTTCATAAATCATTTGTTTTGGTATTTTCGGAGAGCTTCATTAATTTAAAGTGTAAAATAAATAAATAAATAAAGTACAACTGAAAAAGTTACAACCCATTGTATGAAGAATTAAACAAAATCTAATTTTGTAGGATGCATTAAATATTGATTAGATTTTATATGTAAAATAAGATAAAAAATAACTGGAATAGTTTTACGTGTTGTAATATTTTATATTTTAAAAAAATTAAAAAATCTTCTTTTACGTGTTTCATACCAACATTTTAGGAACTACATAGATATTCCTAAATTAATATTGCATACCCGATATTTTAGGAACTAATTAAATGCTAATTTGATTTGCATACCCAAAATATTAGATGCATTAATTAAATACTTGATAAAATTATAAATTCATTAATTAAGTTTGACTTTTCTAACTACTAGATTTAGTAAATAGGATCCCCTTTAATATAAGTATAGATGCCATTTAAAAAGAATATGAGACAGTATTAATTATGGAAGATCATGTATGTTAATCAGGATCCAGGTGTTAGATCTATTTTAGAAAAATAATTAATTCTACAACAAAAATTGAAAAAAAAAGAAGTTATATTCTTAGTTTGAAACATAAAACTATAATATATAATATGAAAGTAGAAAAATTTCTAATCGAATTCTAGAAAACATTTTGTATGAAATATTATTTTTTTTATATAAAATATATTCACTTTCATCAAAGTTAAATAGTTAATTTGTATACATTAATGTTCAATAATTTAAAATATAATGTACGAATATATTCTTTTTAAATTTTATAAAATACAATAAGTATTTTTATTATTCTAAGTATTTTTGAATTTAAGTATTTTTATTATTCTAATTATAATTTACATTTAGATTTTTTTTTTCAATATAATTATAATGTTCAACTAGTACAACACCCGTGTATTACACGAGTGCTTGCTAATTTTTTTCCTTAACATCTAAAATTAATGAGAAAAAGTAGTTGAAAATTTAAATATCTTTTATTACATTATATATATTATTATATATTTACTATGACACTTTTTATTTGTGTGACTTACTTGTGTTATATTATAATAATATTTTTAACTTACAACATATAACTACATTAAACATAAATATATCAACTGGGAAATAATTTTATTTTTTTAATAAATTTTAATAAATATTATTATTTTTATATTATAAAGATAAATATAATTTATTTATTTTATATATACAATATGGATGTCAAATCGAAAATCATGAAAAAATCATTAATTTGATATATTATATATGTAAAACCGATAAGAAAAACAAAAGTTATCAACTTTTAAAATCCCCCTTATATATAATTCTCGAATGCGCTGAGCCTACGTGGCTACTTCTGGTGCTTTGAAATCCTACTTGGCAAAGAATCATGCTTCGTAATTAGGTTTGGACAAATAATATTGATATATTAATAATTAATAATCTAGGTTAGGACATTCCATAAATATTATTTAGCTAACTTAGGTATTTTAATATCACTTGTACTAATATAACCCTTTAATTATTTGTAATTTTACATAGTGAGGTACTAAGTGACTAATATATCCCTGACTTTTTATTTGTTTCCTCAATTAACTATTGAATTGTAAATAAATTTTAAAAGTTGATAACTTTTGTATTTCTTATCAGTTTTACATATATAATATATCAAATTAATCATCTTTTGATGATGTTCGATTTGACATCCATATTATATATACGAAATAAATAAATCATATTATCTTTATAATAAAAAAATAGTAATATTCATTAAAATTCATTAGAAAAATAAAATTATTTCTCACTTGATATATTTATGTTTAATGTAGTTATATGTTGTAAGTTATAAAAGTTATTACTATAATATAACACATGTGAATCGCACAAATAAAATGTTTCGTACTTAATATATAATAATAAATATATTTTTAGAAAAGGTTTTAAATTTTCAACTATTTTTTCTCATTAATTTTAGATTTTAAAGAAAAAATTAGCAAGCACCCGTGTAATACACGGACGTTGTACTAGTACATTTATAATTCAATAGCTAATTGAAGGAAACAAATCAAAAGTCAGGGATATATCAGTCACTTAGTGCCTCACTATGTAAAATTACAAAGAATTAAAAGGTTATATTAGTACAAGTGATATTAAATTACCTAAGTTAGTTAAATAATATATATGGAATGTTCGAACCTAGATTATTAATTATTAATATATCAATAATATTTGTCCAAACCTAATTACAAAGCATGATTCTTTGCCAAGTAAGATTTCAAAGCACCAGAAGCAGCCATGTAGGCTCAGCGCATTCGAGAATTATATTAGGGGATATCTTTGTAGTCCTCACTTAAGTTGAAACATAATTGTTTATAATTATGTTCATACTTATTTTATATATTTTTGTGCAAATATATATATATATATATATATATATATATATATATATTTTATGGTTTGCTAATCCAAGTAAATCTTATTACTTTATAAGACAATTTATAGTTTTGGTTGGTATTTTTTAGTTTGGTTTGGTAAATAATTTTAAATTTTATATGTAAGGATAGATATCACTATTTTTATTTTGTATATTTAATTTGAATGTTAAACCAAAGATATGATAATTGATTTGATATATCGTATATAAAAATAAAATATAAACAAAAAAAATATAAAATTTAAAACATTAGAAGAAGATGATACATTTATGGTAATTGATGTTGGAATTAAATAAGAAAGAAAATGTGATACATGGTATAATATAAGAAAAGAAAACGTAAAATAATTTATAGTAACTAATTCTCGAAGAAAAGAAGGAAAAGATCATTAGATCAATAATGAATCTAATGTGAATAACAACCATTTACTAAAATATAAGCATAATATTTTTTATGAAAAAAAACATTAATTTATATCTAAATTTGACTCCAAAAGAATAATTATTTTTCACATGAAATTTTAAAACATAGGAGTTTCTCACTTAAGCTCAACACATTTAAAAATTATATACAACGAGATATTGTATTATAATAATCGCTATGTAGCTTTGTACTAAAAATCGGGCTTGGTGGCAATTTTTCAGATTTTTTTTTTTTTTTGTAATTTTTTTTGAACACTAATTACAGATATTGTATTATACTAATCGCTCTGTAGCTTTGTACTAAAAATCGGGCTTGGTGGCAATTTTTCAATTTTTTTTTAATTTTTTCAAATACTAATTACATTATTTTGTTATCATATTTTCTTTATAATTCATGAATATTATTACTTTATCTTAGGTGTGTTGATTTATTATTATAATTTGAGATAATTTTATTTTATAGTTAGTAAAAATAAATAAAAAAATAAGTATTTAATCTTTATTTTAAGGCTCCATAGACACTGGTCGAATGACTAGCGGGCGTCTAACGACTTTTAGAACACTTTTGTGTACGTAGTGCTAAACAAAAGCGCCCATTGGTTGAAAGAATGAGGATTTGGGGGGACACATTCCATGAAAATGACGCGAGCAAAGACTTCACTAATAATGCTTCGTAGAAATGATGCATGCAGTGTAAAACTTCTATCCTTCTCCGACTTAATTAGCATCAATTGACCTTTTCTACGCTTATTAGTTGCCTCTCATACGCCTCCTACTTGACACGTTTCTTTTCGAAATATAATTAATAAAACAAAAATGAAAGAAATTCGAAAGTCTTCTAGTAGTAGTAGTGCCCATCTATTTCACAG